CAGGAGGGCAAGGGGGTTTGGGCTCGCTCAGCCCTTCCCAACCCCAGGGGCCCAGCACTATCCTTTCAGGCCTCTGTCCACCGGCTTCCAGGACCATTACCCGGAGCAAGGGAGGGTCAGTCTGAGGACAAGGTGGCAGCATCTGCCTGGGAGAGGTAGGAGTTGCTGGTGTCCCCTGCACCTGCACTAGGACATTCGCTTCTGCAGGATACTGACTTGGGCCCTCTCCTTCCCAGGAAAGGGTCAGCTCCACACAACAAAGGGCGGCGTGTTCACTCGCAGCACAAACCTCTTCCCAGACAGGACAAGCATGGGCGGGGTGGCTGCTACCCTTCGCCCTGGTCCCACTGAAGACACAGAAGCGGCTTAATTGGCTGGGAAACTGGGCCTGTGGGGGAAAGTGCAGGAACTGGACCCTGCACAGACCAGTGAGCACCCCCACAGTGTGACTGTGTCCCACTCTGAGCTGAGCCACTGGGGCATGCAGGGTGAGCTGGCGCTACCACTGAGGCAGGAGTGACAGGTGCAGAGCTTAGCTGTGCCCCACATAAAGGCGGGCAGGGTGGATGTGTAAGGGTGGGTACAGTCCCAGGGCTGGGCTGGACCCTAGCTCTAATTGGGAAGTAGCAAGGAAGCTGGTGACAAACATTGCCAGCTGGGGTCAGCATCCCTTGGGCTCCCCGGGTCACCTCAGCCCTGTGCCTGGGTCACCATCATGATGGAGCCAGTCTACAGGTGTCAGACCAAGAGGGGTGCTGCCAGCGGCTGGGTCTCATCCTTCCTGGCAGGACCAGGTCGCTCAGAGTTCCTGGGGTACTTGGGTCCCTTTCCTCCCTGGATGTATGGGAATGCTGAGTGCCACCCAGGGTGCCAGGCAGAGAGGGTGTCCTGGGTCAGGTAGGGGGTGAGCTTTCTGAGGACAGGCTGTATTAACCACACTTTTTATTTTCTGCATTCCTCATGCTTTGGCATTTGGGGACTTGCTAATCCTCAAGAGGCTGCCCCTCCCAGTGCTGGCTAATTCCTAGAGTTAGCAAACCACTTCCCATCCAGACTCCACACCTCCCCACCATGGGCTCTCACATTCAGGCCACCATCCACCTGCCCTCCTCACCCCAGGGCCAACCCCAGGCCCCAGCACCTGCCAGCGTTACTCAAACTGGCCGGTCCTAAGCCTGCTGACACTGCCTTGCCCGTCTCTTCCCGTGGGAACCACAGTAAAGGCTCTGCCCACATTCCCCCTCACTCCCTCTGCCCGTGACCAGCCCTGGTGCTTCCCCGCGTGGGCCTGTGTGGCGTGGGTGCCCTTGCTCATAGGATCTGTGAGTAACAAACTGTCTTTTCAATGACAGTTGTCTACAGATATTGGCTTCTCCATCATGAATACTAATGAAACCTACATTTTAAAACACAGGGTGGGGGCCGGCCCGGTGGCGCACTTGGTAGAGTGCGGCACTTGGGAGCATGGCGGCGCTCCCCCTGAGGGTTCGGATCCCATATAGAGACCGGTCCGCTCACTGGTTGAGCGCGGTGCAGGCGCGACAACGAGGGTTGCGATCCTGTTGCTGGTCACGAAAAAAGACAAAAAGGAAAAACAACAACAACAAAAAAAAACAGGGTGGGATGGGGCCTCCAGCCTATGTCCCCATGTGCTTGGGCTGTGGTGACCCTACACTCTGGGCCAAAGCAGTGGAAGATGGACACCTCGTCCTGACTCCTGGGAGCCCTGCCCTGCCCACCCCAGGGCTGTTCCAGGGCTGCTGGGGGAGGGGGCTTCCAGGAGGCCCAGGCCAGTCAAGAGGGGGCCCACTCTGATTTCAGCTGAACCCCACCCTTGCAATTTGTGGCCTAAACCTCCCACCCTGCTCTAGCCCCCACAGGGTTTCTGCCCCAGCTGACTGCCTCCGATGAATCTCTGCTCAGACCCTTGGGGTCACCTACTGTGGCCTGCAGGGCAGGTGTCTGGCTGCATGGGGCACCCATGGGACCAGCCTTGTTCACCAAGTCCTGGCCTGGCATTGAAGGGGTCCCCTGCCCCTGTGATGTTATGAGCATCCCACACCAAACCAAGGGTGCCTCCTCCAGGAAGCCTTCCTGGATCCTGCCAGCTCTCCATTCCCTAGTACTGTACCTGACACTGACCCTCCCCTGCAAGCCTCTGACTGATGGGTGGTCTTCCTGGGGGTTTCATTCATTTGCCTCCCCTGAGCTAGTGTGCCCTGGGGAGCAGGGTCCCACCTGAGTGCTCTCTGTGTCCAGAGCCTGAATCATGATGTGTCCTGCTCTAAGAGTGACCACCACACGCTCTGGCCTCGCTGTGGGTGCAGCAGGCGTTTCCCATGGCCCACATACCCGCACCCCATGCTCCTCTCCTCACAATTCTGGGGAAGGCCTGAGGCCCCTGCACCCTGGGAAGGCAGCCTCTGCCCCACTATCCCCTCCACGATGATGCTGATGAGCTGGGGGAGGGTGTGGAGGCTGGGCAGGAGGCCCCGAACGCAGGGAGGCGGTGGCCTCAGCAGGAGCACAGGTGATTATCAGAATAATATTTATTGATATGCTCAGTGCTACCTTGTTAATACTGCATCATGTGGCCGCGGGGCTGAGGTAATAGGGGCGGGTCCAGCACACGGCCTGGGCGCCCACGGAAGCAGCGTGGGATCTCAGCCTGCAGCTGGGGCCCGGGTGGGGGACATGGTTATTGCGTCAGACTCCTTCCCTTGCTTGCACACTGGTGTCCACACCTGGGCTCACACATGCTCACTCGCCCTGTGCCTGTGCTCACACTTGCCTGGACACCGGCACAGGGCACTCGTGCTCACGTGCACTCACACACTCGCATGCACATGCTCACTCAGGCACGTGCACATTCACGTTTGCTCTCACACCGTCGCACGCGTGCACCCTCTTGCCCACGCTCACGCCCACCTCTGCTCACACACACTTACACGCTATCTTGTTTTAGACTCATCCAAAGTCTCCTGATGATAAATATGGTCGTTAGTCACAGTAATCATAGTAAAATAAAATGTATGTCAGGCTACAAGGAGAAAGTGCATGTTGATCTCTGACCTGAGGGCGACCTCGTCCCCTCCCACCTGAGGACATCAGGTCCCTGCAGGGAGCACACCCCTGAGCACAAGGCCAGTGGCATGGCCTGTCCCAGCAGGTGCCACCATCCCCAGCCTCCTCCTTGCTCTGGGCTGGGAGAGCTGGGTTGTCCTGCCCAGGACAAAATTGAATAAAAAAATAAACTCTTCCTCCACAGGCCAGCACGCATAGCTGAGTGCCCGATGCAGGGGGTGGGGGTTGGCTCTCCTGGGGCCCCTGCCTGACCCAGCCCGCATCAGTGCCAGGACGATGCCATTGGGGACCGGGCTCCCCTGTCGAGTGGGTGGTAGAGGTGCCGAGCCCCTTGGCATGGGGACAGGAGGCTGGGGGGATGTGGGCAGGGCCGAGCAAAGCAGAGGCCGCGTGGCATGGCGCTGGGGTCAGCCAGGAGGCCGCCGGCCGGGCCACACCACGTCATGCACCACGGCTTTTGGCGGCCTGGGCAGTCCCGTTCCCTCAAAACTCCACAGTACTCACAACTGTTCGCGGCTCGTCGAAGGTGGCAATGAGGATCTGCTGTGGGGGGGGTATGGCGATGAGGTCGCCCATGTCCGGGGGCACGCGGGGACCCCCTTCCTCCTCCTCCCGGGCCTCATACAGCGTGTTGATGTGGAGCAGGGGGTGAGTGGCGTTTCGGCTCAGGATGGCGAGGGGGTCCACCTTGCCCAGGCTGGCTGGCGACAGGGGGGCCACGGCGGGGACGGCGGGGGGCGAGCAGACGTGAAACGGCCCCCCAGAGGGAAGCCCTGCCAGGGTGGGCTCTGCCGGGTACAGGCTTTCCTTCTCTGGGAGCGGAGCATCTGCAAACAGCCGGGAACACAGCGACTCACGCGCACCGCTCCTGCGCCCCCGTGCCCCGTGCCCCAGAGCGGGCCGGCGGACCCTCCCTGCCCTGGGCCTCGTCAGCCAGCCCCGTCCGCACAATGTCCCCCGGGGGCCTCGCCCAGCAGGCCGCGCTAGAGGAGGTGGCCCCGCGCTCCCTCCCAGCGCTCGGGCCGGCCTCCTG